AAGGCTAGGCCAATTCAAATGAATGAAGAGTTACTCCATTATTGTCAGAAAGAGATCAAAGATCTCTTAGACAAGAACCTTATCAGAAAAAAGTAAGAGCCCTTGGTCATGCTCTGCTTTTTACGTTGATAAACCAGCAGAAATTGAGAGGGGAACTCCCAGGTTAGTTATCAATTACAAACCCCTCAATCAAGCTCTTCAATGGATTAGACATCCTATACTCAACAAGAAAGATCTTCTTAACAGACTAAATTCTGTTAAGATCTTCTCAAAATTTGATATGAAATCTGGATTCTGGCAAATCCAAATATGTGAAAATGATAGGTACAAAACTGCCTTCACCGTCCCCTTCGGGCATTACAAATGGAATGTTATGCCTTTCGATTTAAAAAATGCCCCTTTAGAATTTCAAAAAATTATGAATGACATCTTCAATCCTTATTCAAAATTTGTCATTGTTTACATTGATGATGTTTTGATATTCTCTCATTCCATTGATCAACATTTCAAACACAAATGTTTTTATCAATGTTATCAAGAACAATGGACTTGTTGTTTCCAAATCCAAAATTAATCTCTTTCAAACCAATATTAGATTTCTTGGTCATAATATTCACCAGGGAACCATTATTCCGATCAGTAGATCTATTGAATTTGCTGATAAATTTCCTAATAGGATCCTAGACAAAACCTAGCTTCAAAGGTTTTTAGGATGCCTCAATTATGTAGGTGATTTCATTCCACACCTCAACAATATTATTAAGCCTTTACAGGATAGGCTTAAGAAGAATCCTCCTTCTTAGACTGATGTTCACACCAATGTCGTCAAAGAAATTAAAAATAAAGTTAGAAAGATAAATTGTCTTTATCTTCCTATTCCTCAAGCTTTCAAAATTGTTGAAACTGATGCCTCTGACATAGGTTATGGTGGCATTCTCAAACAAAGAATTGAGTCGCATGAGCATATTATTGCATATACTTCAAAACATTGGAATTCTGCACAACAGAATTACCCAACTGTTAAAAAAGAAGTTTTAGCAATTGTTTTATGCGTTTCAAAATTTCAATCTGATTTACTAAATCAAAAATTTCTTATTCGGGTAGACTGCAAGTCTGCTAAAGAAATATTACAAAAGGATGTTAAAAATCTTGCCTCAAAGCAGATCTTTGCAAGATGGTAAGCAATTTTGAGTGTTTTTTTTATTTTGATATAGAAAATCTCAAGGGCACCTCCAATTCTCTTCCTAACTACCTTACCCGTGAATATTTACAGGATAAGTGAAATGCCTAGAAAGGCAACTACCCCTTCCAGGGGAGGAACATCCAGAGGCAGAAGAGTTAGGCTTGCCCTGACTCTTAAAAAATCAAAATCACAAGCTGCTTCGGCAAAATCTACCTCTACTGGGTCATCCACCCCCATTGAGTCATCGACTCAAAAAGCAATCCAAATTGTTGAGTCATCGACACAGCAATCTGGAACTCCAAAAGAATCTTCCAAAAAGACTGATTCTTCTATAAAAACCACCAAACAAACTAAAGCAGATTATACTTTCCCAATCAGCACACTCTTAGCTGTCCAACAAGGAAGACTGAGTAGCCTACCAAAAAAATCATGGGTTGACATTGCCTCTGAAGAAGACATGGAAATAGATTTAGCAAGCCTAAACACCATACTCCAGTCTTTCAATCAATCCCAGAAAACAATAGCCAATCCAAATAAAATAGAAGGAACCTTGGACCTTCAAAAAGACAAACAAAAATCCACAAACCTGAACCATTATGTGGCAAAAGGAAAATTTTCCTCAGTCATACAAATGGAACCTGATTTTTGGGATAAAAATCTATACAAAGCCATTACTAAAGTCTTCCCACCTGGATTTCATTTCAGACCTTATGCGGCAAACAAAACCAGGCAATTTTATGAGTTTATTCTAGTAGATTCAGACTCTGTCTCCATCAAACACTATAAGGACCATAAAGATCCTTCAATCATAACCCATTCCACAATTCAGATCTTGAAAGTCTTTACCCCAAAGGCTTTTGGAAGAAATCTGAATTCTTATAAAAAATTCTCCCAACCTTTTGACCCAGTGGGATATAATTACTGGGATTACATCGATGCATGGACAAGAACTTTCTGGTTCCAGAATAAACTTAACTGACATTCTTGGTTAATTTATTTCAAGAAAAACCAGAGCTATGACTTTCCAAACTGGTTTCTCCAATGGTGGGACTATTTTGGGCCAATCGAAGAAATCCTTCCTACACCTGTCAAAGAAGGATACAAAATTTATAGGGGCAGGTATCTGAAAGAATCAAGAATTCTGGCAGATCTTAAGTACTTCTCTGACTTTGCCTTGGCATGGGTATTCTCATGGCAGTATCGATACGGTAAAACAGAAAACAAAGAGACTCTCCCATTGCTTCACAGGTATTCCTTCGTAAAATGGTGGAATCAATTCAATGCTGATCATGCTGGTCCAGCAGGTGTTGCTGAATACTTTGGCAAAAATCCAAAGTTATTGAATTTAGCAGATCCAGCAACATTCCAATTTCTAAACCAGAAATCTAAGATTTCAGCCTTTTTATCAAGCTGTGATTTGAAAGAAAAAATGAAGAAAAATTTGCAAGATGTTCTTCTTCTCTTACAAAGCCAAGAAGAAGAAGAATCCTCTACAAAACAAGATGCCAATATAGAAGACGAGTATCAAAATGAAGATGACTGCTTCGGGATTGACATCCAAGAACTTTAAAACCTGTACTGTAGAAAATAGTTCCAGTCAGCAACCGAAATTGTAGAAATAGTACTCAAATTTTTCTTTCAAAGGAGTCCTCGACCATGTTGTGAGGCACCCTTTCATTAAGCAACATTAGAGAGAGAAACTAGTAAGAAGTTCTCTGAGAATATTTCTTGTAAGCTTTTCTCCAAGTTTTTAATAAAAGTTTACTGTTTCTTGTTATTTTCTCTCTTCTCCCTCTTAGCCGGTTCTGTTCGGACTACCGTTGTCCGGCTTTCTTCTCTTCTCCTTCTACTAGATCTGTGCTGGTTCTACTGCCGTTCTAGTTTCTTATGTTTTAAACTTACTATCTTAAATTTCTGCACTTTACATTCTACATTTCATTTAGTAGTCCTGCTACTGCTTATTTCCCTTTCAGTCTATTTATCTTTTCATTTGATCCATTTCAGGTTATATATATATATATATATATTTATACAGGCCAACTTATCAGGCTTAACAGACTTTATAAACAGCTTAGGCCTGACTTATTTACTTAAACAAGCCTTAAAAAAAGTCTAAGCCTGGTTTGTTTATTAAAAAGGCCAGGCCACAGGCCCCTGTCAGGCGGCCTGACCTGTTTCCATCCCTAGTTGTAACAATCCAGGTGGACGCTGATGCTCAACCTTCGCCTTTTGGCATGTTAGGCATTTAGCCACATATTCGGCCACATCTCTCTTCATTCCATTCCACCAAAACTCTTCTGGAGGTTCTGATACATTTTAGTTGCACCGGGGTGAAAACTCATCCTGCTCTTATGCGCTTCCTCAAGCACCATTTTTCTCAGCTCATCCACTTGAGGAATGCACACTCGATTTCGAAACTTAATCACCCCATTCTCATCACGGTGAAATTCCAAGTCCTTTCTTTACCTCTCTATCTCATCATGTCTTGTAGGAAGGCATCTCCCTGCTGAGCATTTCGGACATACACCAAAAAGTCATTGTGAATCGTCGTCGCTCCGAGATACAAACTCCTCAGCCTCACTTCCATGGCCAAATTCATGTCTCGAAATTCCTCAATCAACTCCATTTCTTTCACCATCATCGCTGCCACGTGCAATGATTTCTGGCTCAAAGCATCGGCTACCACATTTGCCTTGCCAGGGTGGTAAGACAATGTGAAGTCGTAGTCCTTAAGGAATTCCATTCATCTCCTCTACCACATATTCAGCTCCTTTTGATCAAATAGATACTTCAAGCTTTTGTGGTCACTGAATACTTTAAACCTTGCCCCATATAGGTAATGCCTCTATACCTTAAGGGAAAAAACCACCGCGGCTAACTCCAGATCGTGTGTCAGATAGTTGACTTCATGCAGGCATAACTATCTTGAGATATAGGCAACAACTCGTCTGTCTTGCATCAAGACACAACCAAGTCCTTGTTCAGATGCATCGTAATACACATCAAACTCTCGCTCCGGGTCGGGTAGAGCTAACACCGACGCCGAGGTCAATCTTATCTTCAGCTCCAAGAAACTAGCTTGACACCCCTTAGTCCACTTGAACTCCTTTCCCCTACGAGTCAGCTTCGTTAAGGGCAACACTATCTTGGAAAACCCCTCAATTAACTTCCTGTAATAGCTCGCCAATCCGAGGAAACTGCGGACCTTTGTCACATTTGTCGACCTTGGCCACTCAGCCATTGCTTCCACTTTTGCAGGGTCTACCATGATTCCTTCCTTCGATACCACATGCCCTAAAAATTGAATTTCTGACAACCAGAATTCACACTTGGAGAATTTGGCATACAACTGTCTCTTCCTTAGAATTTGCAAGACAATCCTCAAGTGCTCAACGTGCTCTTCTTAAGTCTTTGAATAAATTAGAATGTCGTCGATGAACACCACCACAAACTTATCCAAAAACTTGTGGAAGATCCTGTTCATGTAGTCCATGAACACCACAAGCGCGTTGGTCACCCCAAACGGCATCACCAAATACTCATAGTGACCATATTGCGTTTTGAACGCCGTTTTAGGTATATCTGTATCTTTTACTTTGATCTGATGATACCCCGACCTTAGGTCAATCTTTGAGAACACTGCTGCTCCCCTTAATTGGTCCATCAAATCATCGATCCTTGGAAGTGGGTACTTGTTCTTGACTGTTACCTTGTTCAACTGCCGATAATCTACACATATCCTCATGCTTCCATCTTTCTTTTCCACTAAGAGCACTGGTGCTCCCCATGGTGACACACTCGGTCTCACAAATCGTTTCTACAATAGGTCTTCTACTTGCTTCTTGACCTTTGCCAACTCCACTGGTGACATCTTGTAAGGCGCCACAGAAATTGGGCTTGCTCCCGGAATGAGGTTGATAGCAAACTCTATCTCTCTCTCAGGCGGTAGCTCAGAAATATCCTCAGGAAATACCTCCAAGAAATCCCTCACCACGGGAATATACTCCGGCTCCACCACGCTTTTGGCTTCCATTGAGAACATAACCATGAAAGCCTTAGCGTTTACCATGTTCTCCCATGCACCTTGGCTCATAAGTCTTGGAACTTCTGCCATTGTCACATCAAAGATCAAAGTCCTCTCCCTATAGTCCAGTAGCACATGGTTAGCAGCAAGCCAATCTATTCCCAGGATTACATCCAGTTGGGAAAGAGGTAAACAAATTAAGTCCACCTCAAACTCCTTACCGTGTACCATCATTGCACACCCCAAACACACCCATGACATCACAACCGGCTTACCCGTAGGGGTAGTCACCACAACATTACATGGCAATTCTGTCACATACAGATTCAAACTCTTCACACAGTCCACAAATATAAAAGAGTGCGTAGCACCCGAATCAAACAGCACATCAAGCAATCGACCCTTAATAATGCATTTACCTCGGATCAGTTCTTCTGACTGCGACGCCTCTGCCCCACTCATAGCAAAGACTCTACCAGGAATGCTCGGCTTCTGCCCCGTACTTGGCCCCGTACTTCCTCTTGATTCTGGCCTCTGAGCTACACTTGCACTACCGCTTCTCTTAGCGGCCCAGCACTCATTGGCAATGTGCCCCAACTTCCCACAGTTGCTACAAGTTATCCTCGACCATGGACAGTCCTTCACCATGTGTGGCCCTCCACATCTGAAGCACTTGAGCGGCCCTCTAAAAGAGCTTGATCCTGAACCACTCCCACTGCTTTTCTCTTGAGATGAACTCCCTCGAGACTGAGAGCTATTTGAACCTGAGTATGGTCTCCTTGAGAACCTAGGGGGCTTTTATCTTGCCTTACTGGGCTGGCTCCCCTAGTGTCCACCGTCTTCCCTCTTGAGTTAGCTTCAAAGATTATACTCTTGCTCACCAGGGTGGGCAAATCTGTCAGTTGAAACACACTGACCGCAGCTCGGATGTCCGGCCTCAATCTATGCTCAAACTGAGCACACAGATCCTCCTCTCCATCACCATACTGATAATGAGGCCAGTATTTCATCAGCTCTTGAAACTTAGCCGCATACTCTCCCACAGTCATACTTCCCTGCTTCAGTTCAAGGAACTTGTAACGCCTTATATTTCTTTCCTCAATATATGATAAATTTTCATAAAAATTTTAAATGGTAAAGTAAATTTTCTTTCAAAAACTCTCTAATAAGAAAGAGACATTGAAATGATATAAGGTTCATAGAGTAAAATTTCATTAATTCATAAGTACTTTAGAAAAATAAAGATTCTAAAGTTTTCATCAGCAACAAAGAGAAATAGTAGTTTTACAATTGTTTCAAAATAATGCTATGGAACTGAAATTATCCATTACATAACTCAAAATAACTAAGTCCTATAGCAGTTCTCATCCATCCATGCACTGTGAGCCTGGTACTATTCGTCCTGATTTCCTGAAAATTATTGTGTAAGGGTGAGTCTTTACCCTACCACTCATACATAACACATATTCATCACAAAACACATCTTATCACGATTAAAGAAAACATCATGGCATTGCATATCACAGTGTCATATAAAGCATATTCTCATCTCAACACATATTATATTCCACAGATTCACAATTTCTTTTACTTTTATCCGCGCTTACCGCGCCCTGTGGCCACAGTTATCCGATGCCTCTATCTCGAGGTCTTACACATCCATGTAAATAGTCGCCGGATGGCCCAATGCAATACGGATACAACGCATGCAATAGACGGCCCCTTAGCAAAGGTAATGGTCAGGAGTCAAGTCGGGAAACGAGTGTGTGGCCATGTGGTGCATTCAAACACAATATTCCGTGCATAATCCCGAATGTCACTCACCACCCTGCATTTCCCCAAGATATCCCATATCGTCTCCATCTTCCACTCCCCAGTGTATCTTTGTAACTATTTACATGATATCCTTTTCCATCTCATACTCTTTCACTTATATTCACATATTCACATATGCCATTTTTCATGTTCACACATATTTCTCATTATATTTCTACATACTTTTCATCATATACATTAAACCATGGCATATTAATAATACACATCATTTTTACATGAAACACAATATATTTAAACATGAAACATTCATCTCTTTGTATATTTCATATCACAAAATCATAAAATCATATCAACCATCCTCAATATACCTTATCATGCCCTATTTGAACATAATATCACATTTTCACCATGTATTCATTATAAAATCACATAAACAGGCAATTATTCTCACTTTTCACCGATTATTTCTCATAAACCAAGGATTATTCCACATATAATCACATACATGACAAGATCTATGAGAATACAAGTAATAAACATAACAAAATGATAAAGTAGAGCCCCCTTACCTCAAAATAGAGCTTTTACAAGGATTTAACCGAAGATTTAACTCTAGAACGGAGTTTTTCCTAAGAACATCACGAACATCTATAAGAAAAAGAAGAAGAAGAGAAACGAACAATAAGTCTAACTTCAAACTTAGAGAAACTTACTTGAAATCCTTTAGAACGGACGTAGAATCACAATTCTAAAGAGAAATCTAAGTTTAGGAGGTTCAGTATGGGAGAAAATGGTGAGATATAGCCTTAGAACTTTTAAGAACCTTGGATAGGAGTGAAGAGATGAAAATTTCGTCTGAAACCCCCTTTTTATAGAAAATTTTTGAAAGTTACTGTTCATCGCTGGAAACATTGTTCATCGCAAAAAACACTGTTCACTGCCTTACTGTTCACACCGGAAACACTATGCACACGTACTATACACGAATGTGACGTCAGCCATGACGTCATCGTCACTGTACATACGCAGTTTCACTGTTCCTACGCAATTTACTGTTCATAGGCGGTTTCACTGTTCATACGCGGTTTACTGTTCACTTTTTTTTTAAAATATAAATTCTATCCAAACCTATTCCAATTATACTTTAACAAACCTCATTTTATTTAAATCAAAATGCAAGATGTTACAGAACTCCCTAGCTTTCTGCTTCCTTAGGTCCCGCAGAAAGTGATTCTCTAGGAAGATGGTTTTGAATGTTTCTCACTGGATATAGACATCTTCTTGTGGCAAAGTCTGACCGGCAAACCTCCACCAGTCCTCAGCCTCCCCACACAACAAGTAGGTGGCATAGGTAACCTTGTTCTCCTCACGGCACTCCATTGCATTAAAGATCTTCTCCACATCAGTCACCCACCTTTGGGCTCCTTCGGGATTGAATCCACCATCAAACCTTGGAGGATCATGCCTAGTGAAGGCAGACAACCCTCAATACTCAGCTGGCTCTCCGCCTTGATTTTTCACCACGGCTTCCAGAATCTGAGCCATGCGTTCCATGAGGTCATTGGTGCCTCTAGCTCCTCTACCTCTACCTCTACCTCTACATTTACTAGACATATTCAATCTAGCTACAACAAGTCAGCAATCACATTCCAGCACATTAATCAATTTATATATTATAATTCAGGCAAACAAAATAATCAACACTTATCTTGGATGCTTCAGCCCAATACCCAAGTCCAGTTTGGATGAACTACTCTGATACCAAAATTGTAACACCTTAAATTTAATTTCAGTAAATAAGGAATTTTCAGAAAATTTTGAAATAATAAAACTTCCATTTCTAATCCAAGTTTCGTCAAACATTTCAAAATAAAGAAAGGGGGTTACAATTACATCAAACAGCTGCTACAGGACTTATTCAAATACAACAGTTTTCAAAATAATATTCTAAGTCCTATAGCAATTCCATCCACCCCTTTACTGAGTCTGATGCTGATCGTCTTGATTACTTGAAAAATGAATGTAAGGGTGAGTACTCTACGCTACCCAAAAACACACAGTCAGCATAAAGTCTCACCTCTAGCACATTTCCACTACATTAAACAAACACAATCACAGGCAGCATAGTCACACAGCTCATGTCAATTCAACACCGATACACTCACGACATCGGCAGCATTTCACATCCATAAGTACAATACACAAACCCATGCATATGCACGCTAGCCACACTCACTATGGCACTGTGATCACAGATTTACACCATGAATAGTTGCCAGTCCCTGCCTCACAGATACCACGTGGGCAGTCACGGGTCGCTCAACAAAGGTAGTGGTTAGAGGTCTAGTCAGGAAGAGAGTGTGTGGCCCATGGTGCATCTGTTCCACAGTCGGTGTCACCACCACTCCCTCTTCCCCAAGGTATTTCTACCATCCTCATCTTTCACACCCCCAGTGTATCGCTGAACCATTGACAGCACATTACAACGACGCTAATACACCCATTCACATACATATATTCCATTCACGCTGCCATAATCATGCTTACACACGGCATACAACCCACATTGCATTTCACAGCCTACAATTATCATTCATATTACAAGTCCTTGGACCCATATTTTCACAATATTCATTCAAATATACGGCGCAAATGCCCATACTCATTCTATCACACAACATTTACATACAATCCACATCCATTGATTTTGGATCAACACACATAATGTTCACATATCACGACATGTGGCCCACATTACATTTTTCAGCAATTTCCTACCCACTAACTCAGCCACAACATAATATTCAGCAAAATATCAACAATTCATGCACAAAAGAGTAGGATAGAATCTCCCTTTACCTTGGATTGAAGACCCACACTCGGATTCCACGAACTTGCTCCCTACACAGATTTTGGCCTAAAACACATGAAAGAACTCCATGAGAAACGGAGAAAAAGGGATGAGAAACAGAACCCTAACCATTAAAACTTACCTCCAACCGTTCCCCACAGGGATTCAACTTTCAATCAAGCTCCCAAATGGCTTTGGAGGCAATTGATCGGTGGAATAAGGCTTTAGGTATGAGAGGATCCAAGGGATTTCAAAGAGAGAGGGAGAAATAATCCTCCCCGAACCCTAACCCTCTTTAAATCCTTTTATGGTCGCGACATTCTCGCTGCAGCGAGGGTCACGCTGTAGCGAAAATATCAGACAAAACTGCACCCTGGTTTCTGCAAAATCTTGCTACAGCGAGACCCTCTCGCTACAGCGAGATTGTACCTTTAAATTGTCGCTATGTCTCACTACAGCGAGAAGGCGATAGTTTTGGTCCTTCCTCCCAGGGTCCTCTCGCTGCAGCGAGAACAGCCCAGTATTGCACCCTGCACTTAGGCACTTAGCCTATTTCAGCCCTATCCAGGCATGCATACACGTGCACACACACACACACACACACATACACACATATATATATATACACACACATGTCCACAACATATATATATATATATATATATATATATATATATATATATATATATAATCATACTCATTACACACAAAATTTACTCGATCACAGACATTTCTGGAACACCTCTAACAGAGGGACAAATAGTCAATTTTGAAAGAACTTATTGTCAATCTCTTTCAGATATGAATCTACCTGATTTAGAAGGGAAGAACTTGCATCAGTATCTTAATTTCAATTCAAACATGGGTTTGATTCACACTCCATGTTTTGAGAAATATTTACCATCTGAAAAGAAGAAAAAACGGAGTCCTTGTCCAAAAAAATGCCTTAAGAAAGGGCAGATGTATATAACCTTTCAACAAGATAGTGCTTTTTCAACTCTTTCAAAATGGAATCTATTCTAAACATATATACCATGGTTCCTTACCTCGACAGGGTACAAATATATAAATTTCATATTTTTAGATACTTTTTCAGACCTATTACCGATACTAAGTAGCAGCCAAAAATTTGTATCCATTTTTCATGATATTATGCATGGATCAGATATATCATGGTGAATTCTTCATATTCCATTGTGTCTTTCACAATGCAATCTGATAGGTAAGATATGGAGTCTGATAAGTGAGATTCCGAGGGATGCGGTCTCTACTATATCCACGTATCATTTATCTCTATGAAATACTAGACGAAATAGAACAATTTTAAGTTAAGGGGGAGATACTGAAATTCTGTAATTGGTTGTTCCTATAGAAATGATTTGTTTTATTTGACTGATGGGAGCAACAAACAATAAATTATAA